GTGAGACCCCGCAACTTTTTTATCATTGACCGCTTCGGAATTAACGGCACTTATATTAGGTGCATTGGCACTGTGAGGTGAAAGGGATTTGACCCGCGTGGACGTTAAAAATGGCTCAAATGTGTTAATATTTAATAAATCCGTTGGTGTTTCAGCAATCGCAAATGCCACGTCAGCAGTACAAGTGCGGACACCGCCAAGTAATGTCTTTCCTTTTATGGTAATATTGCTGGGCGCATTGGGTCGGTTTAACGTAGGAACCTGAGTCTTTTTATATTTAAAAGTAGTTGCAAATTTTTTATTACGCTCGCTCGCATTAGCTGCAGCACGCTTACTTTGCAGCATATGTGCCTTTCCTACGGCTCCTGCACTTGCACCCGTTGCTGCTTGCTTCGGCTTGTTTACGGTATTTATTGTTGCAATGCCTCTGGATTGTGATATCGGTTTTCGCGTTGCTGTTGTTGTCATTTTCGGCGGCTGAGGTCGCACGAACAACGGAACTTTTTTTTTTGGGCTTTCGCGATTTTTATTTAAGTTGCAAGGTGTCTTTTTTGGAGGTTCATTTGATTTTGACTTAGTATTAAAATTTGATATGTTTGACGCCACATTAGCTACAGATGTTGCTGTTTTGTTGGTCGAACAAAGAGTCTTTTTTTCAGGTTTGACAGGTTCATTTGAGCTTGACTTTGTATCTAAATTTGATGGTATTTTTTGTGATGCTCCAGTGGTTGCAGTTAAGTGTTTTTTAGTAGGCGGAACTACCGCCGTCGGTTTACTTTCTGTACTTAAAATCGATGTTGCCTTAATAGCTTTTGTACCAGCTGGCTTTGTGCCTGTAGGGTTTTTGGTCGATTTCAACGAAGTGGTTGCTGGCGTTATTGCCGACTTGCAACGTGCTAAATTAGAGATGGCCGGGGTTTTACTAAGGGTCGATAGTTTTTTTGTCTCGACCCCTATTGCATTATCCTCTTTTGACCTTGGCGGTGTTGGTACCACGGTGTAAAACGATTTTCTATCATGAGCTAGTAGGTCTTTCGCCGCGGAAGTCTGTAAAATAATTTCTTGTGATATATATATACAATTAAAGATGTAATAACTCACCATTTCAGATAGGGGATTAGTTATTCCAGCTGGCGGCTTAAAGCGTTGATGGCCTTTCGGCACAAATGTCGCAACTTCTTTGCTTTTGCCTTTGTTAGTTACTGTTGAAAATCTTGCACTACTCTCGAATGCACTACCACATGCCCCACCGCTGGAGATAAATGGTCGCCTTTTAATTTCATTTCTTTTCTTCTCTTTTTGTTTATGAGCCTCCCTCCATTCGATGAATTTCAATAGATATGATTCTTGTCGTGTTGACTTTTTAGAGCTCGTCTTGCCCGATGCCACTAATGCAATTCTGGATTTATTGCATTCGGCCACATTTTCTAAAGCATCGCCTTTATTTTCTTTATCTACAAGCACTTCCGCTAAATTTTGCTCCTCAAAATTGTGTGGTTTTGTAGGAGTTGGGCTGACATCGAGATTACGACCGCTTTCAAAGACTTCCCTTCGTTTTTTGGCGCGATATGCATTTTGAATATTGCGATTTTTAAGATTATGCTGGACCGGACTCAATGTATGGGAATTTTCTTTATATAAATTACGAAAACGGTCCATTCTTAGCTTTACACTGGGTTTTCTTAAAAAAAATATATATTAAAATTCTGCAGACTTGAAAATCTTAACTGTTTGTCGTCAGAATGCGCCAAATCACTGAGGTTATGTTCACTTAAACTCAAATTTCCCTTTGAGGAGTTTAATAGTATTGCCGGACTTTTGCTTGTATAAATTCTTAATCTCATTGTTTTATACAGCGTCTACACGTTCCAGAGATGATGTTACTGGAATTTCCAACAATAGATTGTGAATACCAACTTAGAAAAACAAAATGCAATTTTAATTTGTATGCCACTTTCTTTGACCAATTTTCGACGAAATGCTAAAGATGATCAAATTGTCGAAATAGTCTTAGACGCAAAAACTATCAGAATGGGGAATGTTGCTATGATAGAAGCTATCAAAAAGTAAAAGTGACAGTTGGAAGCAAAAAACATCGGAGCTGCATCAAAAAAAATTAGTTATTAATGGCAAAGAAGATAAGCGATTTTGTTTCAATAGCAACTATAACGTTTATTTAACAAATTTAATTATGAAAGGTAACTATGATACAAGCTTCAAAAACTTTGTATTTTTCGTCGTCTTTGCTCCGAATAAAATTATGGAAGGTCGCATTTATGATTGAAGACTTAGCGCTGGTTTCGGCAACATTAGTCTTCGTGCTTTTATTGCGAGAATTTCAAATGGTGGAAACTGTAAGTAATTGCGCTGATAGAATGCGATATAATGACAACCTATTACTAGAAATTGTATACCTTGCCCGATGAGTGAAAAAATGAAGGAAGTTTCTATCATAGAGGGCCTGTGCCAAATGATAGAAAAGAGAAAATTTTGACGGATCAAAGTAAAAATCTGACATTTCTCGTGGTGAATAAGAACGTCAGAATTTTACCTAGCTCATGGGGCTAGGTAAAATTTTGACATCTTATAACCATGTATACACATAATTGGGGTGTTCACAGTTCGTTCCAAATTGTGTCTGAAAATGTAGACGTCTACATTTTGAGACATCTTTAGCATCAAACTGTGAGCACCCCTTTCTAGCAGTCGTCGTAAAATCGTCGCAAAACTTTGCTGGTGTTGCCAGACATTTCTTCTTTGCGTGCTTTTTTATATGTCGCCTTTCGATTTTGTTTCTGAAAAATTGTAATTATTTAACTTAATTACCAATTCCTAATATTTGTTATTTCTTTTCCTTGATTTGTTTCTTTTCATCAGAAATTGCGCTCAAATTAAATGCAAATACAGAAAACGTGCCCAATAAATAAAAAAAATGCGATTAGTATTGCCATAATGCAACCCTGCTGCGAGGTTGCAAAATGTAGACGCGTAAAAAACATACCTTTGAGTGTGACAAAATGTAGACGGCGTCGTTTTCCAATTTTGTATGGGAAACAACAACACCACGTCTTAAAATGTAGGCGTCTACATTTTGAGACACTATTTGGAACGAACTGTGAACACCCCAAATATTGCTTGGCGGTAATAAGGAGTGAACATGAAAATGAAAGCTGAAACAGCATAAAAAAAGCGTACGTTACTTGCAAATTATAAAATAAATATAAATTTTAAGAATTTCAGCAACACACAAAAATAAAGCTTTCGCACGAGCGTTTGTTTGGTTTTTCAACTGTCAAAATTTAACTCTGCATTTGGCGCAGCAAAATTCAATTTATTTGTACACCATAGCAAATTTTTCCACCCCGTCTCACCACGGAGAAAAAAGTTACCGATTGGCACAGGCCCAGATACGCAAAAATTTATCGATGTTGGAGATACCCGGACAGCAGATATGAAATTAATTACACGTCGCATGAACCAAAAACACTAGATCAAGCAGGAACGGGACGTTGCATTTGTAATTGGTTTTAACGGCGCGTTTACATTGGCAATAGGTTCTTTTCTAACAATCCGGACCGGATCCGGTAATTAGAGAATAAGCGAAAAGTTTGTTCCCAAAAATGGAACATATTCCAAAAGTACGCGAACGCAAAAAACATCATTTCGTGCCCAGAATTTGAGAAACAGGTGATTCGCGTTGTTTTTGTTTTTGTCACTTAAATGCAAACTCTTGGAAATTGATTGGGAAATGTTTAGTTATTGGCCCATCGTTTTCGGGGTGGGGGGCGGAGGGGGAGGGGGCGTGGCCCCCCAAACCCCCCTCATTCGAAAGGGGCCAGTCGCCACTTTACGAAAAGCCCCACCCCCTCTTGGGGCCCTCCCACAGACCCCTAGGGAACCGTTTGAAAATGGGGTAAAAACGGCATTTTCCGAGGCAAACTGAGCAGTTTGAAGTGGAATATAACCCAACTAACAGAATCTGTGGGGTTTTTAAATAAAAGAAGTTATCCCAAGGTGGTTATCAGGCGAAAAAAGGAGGGTTAAACACCTTTCGCAGAGAACACCTTTGTGCGTAGGCGGCCTTCGGCCGCACTTAGGGATTATAACCCTCAGGCAGTAGAATTCTCCTTTCTGTGTAGCCAAAGAAGGGGGGCTGAACACCTTTTGCAGAGAACACCTTTCTGCGTAGGCGGCCTTCGGCCGCACTTAGGGATTATAAGCCTCAGGCAGTAGAATTCTCCTTTCTGTGTTGCCAAAGAAGGGGGGCTGAACACCTTTTGCAGAGAACACCTTTCTACGTAGGCGGCCTTCGGGGCCGCACTTAGGGATTATAACCCTCAGGCAGTAGAATTCTCCTTTCTGTTTTGCGAAGAAAAGGAGCTGAATACCTTTTAGAGAACACCTTTTATATTTTTAATGCTTACAGGGTTATATCCTATTTTCTTTTGTCTCTCATTCTTTTGCATATTTTGGAGTTTGACAGCTGAACTACGCCATTTAATTTGCATATGCAACAAAAGTCAGAGGCATGATTTAGAAGGTATTTTTATTTAATAAATTGTGATTAATTGGTTAATATTAAAGTTATAAAGAAAGTTATAGCTTATCGAGTAAAGTGTAAAGTGAAGGAGAATATAAAAATATATTGCTGATGTAGCTGCTTTAAGGAGAATAGGAGTGATAAATTTACGCTAATTTCCGAATTTCACAAAAAAAGGGCATATTTCAAACCCAATTTGTAAATAAATTAGTGACCCAAAATTACAATAGTGGATGTTAAAATAATGGGTATACCCTTGGCTACAAGTGTGTGCAATTTTTTTTTGGATCGGGTCACCCCTTTGGACGCAATACTCCGAAATAGGTGGGCCACTTACTAAATAGTACCCAATTGATTTTTTTTCACAAATTTGATTTTAAGAATACGAAGATTGAAAATACATTTACTATTCCTTAAAAGCATCAAGTAAATGCAGGCAACAGGTTCTTTCCCGTACGCAACGCGGGATCCCGCGAGTGCCCAAAATAGCCCAGAAATCATTCCCGTACTCTACAAAATTGGTAATAGATAACGAAAATTGGAACGTATTGGATCGTAAGTGTGTTCTTCTTCCTGCCCGAAATAGCCCAGACTTTTTCACCGGGTAAAAATGGATAAAGCGTCAAAGTGCATATCAGCTGTTTTGTGTTTACTGTTGCCTTTATTTACTTGGTGATTTTAAGGAATAGTGAATGTATTTTCAATCTTTATATTTTTAAAATCAAATTTGTGAAACAAAAATTCAATTTCAAAGAGTTTGCATTTAAGTGACAAAAACAAAAACAACGCGAATCAACTGTTGCTCAAACTCTGGGCACGAAATGTGGTTCTTGCGTTCCCGTACTTCTGGATTATGTTCCATTTTTGAGAGCAAACTTTTCGCTTATTCTCTAATTACCGGATCCGGTCCGGATTTTTAGGGAAAGAACCTAACATGTAAACACAAAACAGCTGATATGCACTTTGACGCTGTATCAATTTTTATCCGGAGAAAAAGTCCGGGAAGACACGAACCAATACGTTCCAATTTTCGCTCTCTATTATACCATGTTCTGACCGACAACGAAAACACTTTGAAAACGAGTTTTGGGACTGTGGGCTGAAGGCTGTTCACACCGGTTGTTAGTATTTTCGTTGACATTTCTTACATCTTTTAATTGCAGTTTTGCTGCAAAAAAAACAAAACCAAAACAGTTTTCCTTCATTTTCTTTTCATTCACACTTTCTGAGAGTTACTTACTCTTGCTTGAGAATTGTCATTGAGAATTGTTAAAATCGGCATAACCACAGTATTTACGTTCTTTGGTTTGACACTTTTCTAGATTTTGCCAGCGAAAATTCTTCTGACTAAATCTGACTGAATAGTATTTTTTTATTTGTTTTCCTGTATTTTTAGATATTTCAATTATTTAGAAGTTGGAATAGTGGGAAAAATACTATAATACAAGATTGCGCCGTCCTGGCGGCGATGACATGTTCTCTTCGTTGTTTACTTCTTACAACAAAGATGGCGTCGAGATTTCAACAGCTAGAAAATAACTTTTTTCTTTCTTTCCTTAAGGCGTGATCTTGTGTCTTTCGTTCATGCGCAGTCGGCATACGCAGAATTTTGTCGATTACTGGAGCCCTCAGTGTTGCTCACTACACTTTTGCCACTCTTCAATGCCTTTTCATAAACTTAGGGCCGGTTGTTCAATGTCTGGTTATCACTACTTGCCGGTTAAACATCATTATCGACGATTTCGACATCATGCATATAACATGTGATCGATAAAGCAGTCATTGTATCTAACCGGAGCTTCTACCTCCCGTTTTTTGCTAATCAGACATTGAACAAGCGGCCCTTACCCTTTCAACCACAATTTTTCGTGCTATAATAGATTGCAGCTAAATATAAACTACTTAGGGCCGGTTACTCAATGTCTGGTTAACACTAATCTCCGGTAAAACATCGTTATCGACTCCATGTTATATGCATGGAGCCGAACACGTCGATAATGATGTTTAAACGGAGATTAGTGTTAACCAGACATTGAGTAACCGGCCCTTAGTTTTCAACAAAAACCTTATTTAATAGTAAATTTCAAATATTTTAAACATATTTTGAATACGAACTTTTAACTTCTTTACCATCTGTAAAACTGACGAAGTGGCAACCATCTATAGAAGGAGAAATCAGCTGACACGGAAAAATCTAAATTCCGCAGATTTTTGCGCTACGGGCTACAACTACAGAAAAATTCTGCGGTGTTGAGTTTTCATTTACATGGCGCTTTGGTAAGACAGATCGTGTCAGCTGACTCGGGTTTACGTACCGGTAGGTTTACGTTCTTGACTAATTTCAGCTTCAATGTCTGGTTAACACTAATCTGCGGTTAAACATCGTTATCGACGTTTTCGGCTCCATGCATACAACAGGGAGTCGGTAACGTCGATAACTATGTTTAACCGGAGATTAGTGTTAACCAGACATTGAGTAACCGGCCCTTAACCGACGAAAATTTTTAGGGCCGGTTGTTCAATGTCTGGTTATCACTTCCACTACACTATCGACGATTTCGACATCATGCATGTAACATGTGATCGATAAAGCAGTAGTTGTGCTTAACCGGAGCTTCTACCTCCGATTTGTGCTAATCAGACATTGAACAACCGGCCCTTAGTCAGTTTTCCCACTAATCAACCAATAATCATAGGTCAAGGTTTCTGCGGGGAAAATTTCCAAATATCGATATTTTCGGAGCATCGATGTTTTACTCTTGATGTAAATATAAACAGTAATCAGCTGATTTGTGTTGATTACGATCTCTTATCCGACGAAATAAATATAGAGAACACCTTCAGAATGTTAAGGAGCTTTTGGGTTCAAAAAACGACAAAGAAAATTCTTCTGCTTAAAAGATGGAACACAACGCTAACCAATGGAGAATCAAACGTTTATGATTGCATTGTGATAGGCGGTGGCCATGCTGGTACGGAAGCAAGTGCCGCTGCTGCTAGAATGAAGGCGCGCACATTGCTTATCACGCATAAACTCGAAACAATTGGAGAAATGTCGTGCAACCCATCATTTGGAGGGATTGGCAAGGGCCATTTGATGCGAGAAGTTGATGCATTGGATGGATTGTGTGCACGTTGCTGCGACGTCTCTGGTGTACAATACAAAGTGCTGAATCGTAGGCGCGGGCCGGCTGTGTGGGGACCGCGCGCGCAAATCGATCGGCAGTTGTATAAACAAGCCATACAAAGCGAGTTATTCAATATGGATAGTTTAGAAATACGATGCGCAGCAGTGGATGACTTATACCTAGAAACGAATGCGGATGGTAATTCGCAATGCTGTAAAGGTGTGGTATTGAAAAGTGGCGAAATTGTGCCAGGTCGAACGGTGATTTTAACGACGGGAACATTTTTACGAGCTAACATTAATATTGGGCTTGAAGTGCGTCCTGCTGGAAGAATAGGCGATGAACCGGCAATGGCCTTGGGCCAATCGCTAGAGAATCTTGGGTTCCGCATGGGCCGGTTAAAGACAGGCACCCCGCCGCGCATTGCTAAAGATAGCATCGGCTATGAACGCCTCGCGCGGCATTCAGGCGACAATCCTCCGATGCCTTTCTCATTCATGAACGAACGGGTATGGATTGAAGCAGACAATCAATTGCCTTGCTACCTAACGCATACAACATTACGAGTAAATAATATTGTGCGTGAGAATTTGCATGTGAATCGCCATGTGACGGAAGAAGTGACCGGTCCACGCTATTGTCCATCCATTGAGTCAAAAGTTTTGCGTTTTGGAGAAAAAGTACATCAAATCTGGCTTGAACCAGAGGGTTTCGAGAGCAAACTTATCTATCCCCAGGGACTGTCTTGTACCTTGCCATTTGAACAACAAGTAGAGCTAGTACACAGCATTCATGGCTTAGAGGAAGCGGAAGTTATACAACCTGGATATGGCGTAGAGTACGATTTTATAGATCCTCGAGAACTATTTGCCACACTAGAAACGAAACGTGTGGAAAACCTCTTTTTTGCTGGCCAAATTAATGGCACGACCGGCTATGAAGAGGCTGCAGCACAAGGGATAATTGCTGGCGCAAATGCTGCGGGTAAAGCCATAAATTATCGCTCAAATGCATTAGCAAACAAAGATCCAACGCAGCTGACGATAAGTCGCACTGAAGGCTATATTGGTGTACTCATCGACGATCTAACAACATTAGGCACTAACGAACCATATCGCATGTTTACTAGCCGGGCAGAGTTTCGCCTTTCACTGCGACCGGATAATGCCGATGTGCGACTAACAGAGAAAGGCTACAATTTTGGTGTGGTGACCGAAAGTCGATATAAGCGCTTCAAAGCTGCGGAACGGAAACTACAGCAAGCAATCGACCAGTTGAAATCAATGCAACGACATTCCAACTATTGGCGACGTACACTAGGCCTACGTGAAGCGAAAACCTCTGTGGAAAAATCCGCTTTTGATATGCTAGGCATACCTGCGGACAACATAACACTAACACAACTTATAGAATTGCAACCAGACGAATTAGACTGGTTAGGAGTTGAACAAACCATATGTGAGCGGCTAAAAATTGAGGCATTGTATGAACATTTTGTGGCCGAACAGCGGCGTGATGTAGACGATGTCCGGCGAGATGAAGGACTAGCGATACCTGCTAATATTGACTATTTCGCTAAATCGTTAAGTCTATCGAATGAAGAGCGACAAAAATTGTCGCTGATACAACCACAGACCATAGCAGCAGCGAGTCGTATACAAGGCGTTACACCAGCAACCATTGTACGATTGCTCAAATATGTGAAACGCGCAGGAGCAGCTGAACAAGTGATAAGTGCGACCTGAAGTGACGTGGTGGGACCGCAGAGCAGAGGAATTTTCTTAAATTGTTTAATTAATTGAGTTTATACATAGTAAAAATTAATAACTTTTGTTTTTAATACTTATATGTATATAAGAGATATATTTACTTAAAACAGTTTATAATTTACATATTCAGCAAAAAGGGTGTACCATAGGACTAGGACTAAAAATTAGCAATGATAAGTCTATATATGTATTTATGTATGTATACGATTTTATAAAATACGATATTTATAGAAATGTTGCAATAACTCATACTACTATCCAACGCTTTTAAGTCATATAATTGGAGGTACATTAGCATTGAAGCATGTTTCTAAAAATTCTTTACAATTTCGTTTACTACACTTAATCCCTTTGTCTTTACTTAATAAATCAACTATAAAAAATGAATCGCTAAAATAAATTATTGCCACATGCACGAGGCACAATTTCGTTCTTCGTGTAAATACTCATACATACATTACCTGATAAGTATACTTATCAATTATGTATGTGAATATTTAACATGCCTATTTGACGTTTTTCTTATGGATTATAATTGGTGTGGTTTGCGTATCTGTTATTTAGTTTTTTTTTTAAAGGTGTAACACATTTGAAAGGAAAATAGATGGGTCATTGAGTTTTAGTTAAATTTTATGCTAAAATGGAATTTACATGATTCAACTTTCACAGGCGATTACTTGAATCAAAAGTTGAACGAAAGTAGGCAGCCGAACAACTTCATTGAAAGCCATTAGTTGAAAGGCCGTTTACACCAGGCGATTGTTGCTTTCAACTAAAAGTTCCATGAACAATCGCCTTATGTAAATTCCCTATAAGATTTTGTTTTTTGAATACATAGTGTTTAATATTTCGGGATAATCATTTAAACATTTGGCGAATTAATTAAACAAATAATCTAGTACATAAAGAGTTAATTTATTTGTAGGCATATAAAGTAAAGTTATGAACTAAAATAGGGGAAGCAAAAAACGTAATTTTTAAGCAAAAAACCAAACCGGTGTTCAATTCTCGTATAAAAATTAAGAGATTAGTATGGGGCCACCCTTGAGTACCACCTTTCCGATGAAGAAAAGAGTTATCGAAATCGGTTAACATGGTCCAAAGTTATGCGGTAACATACATAAAAAAAAGACAGAAAAAACATTGCTCCTTTTTTAGAAGTCGGTTAATAAGCAACTAAATTCGGACTCTGTTAAGCACTAATAATCTTAATTGCATTATTAGCATTTCAAGTTTATTTTTGTTTAATTTGGGTGTTATTTTCTTAAAAAATTTAAAATTCTTTGCTTCTGGGGGAAACCTGTTAATGGTTTTTCGTTGTAATTATTTGCTTTAACTTTTTGCATATTTAAGAAATATTTTAATGGTCAATGTGGATGACATTCAAAAAAGAAAGTTGAATACGTGCACAAAACAAGAAGGAGTACTTCAAATCTAATTTACTGTTTTGTTTTTACTCTAATTGCAAATTTGTTAAGCATAAAAATGACTATTATGGCAATATAAAGATTATTTATTTATACATATATATGTATATAATTTTTTTGTTTAACTATGTTATATTAGGGATCTCAACTATACTTATTGAAAGCTCAAAACTTCAAAAGTGAGCCGATTTTGTTTACTCTATTTCTGTTTTTTAAACTTCTGCAAAAAAGGAAAATAAATAAATAAAAAAGCCAAATTGGTTCACTGCTCCGAATTGACTCGCTATTAATTGCACGCTAACTGCTGAAGCTTTATATTTATTGAGTTTTTTTTATTTTGACTTACGAAAATACTATTTTATATATTTTGTAGCAATAGCACAGATAATAACAATTGACAATCGAGGGCAATGTTTAGCATAATTTAGAGCGTGCTTTTAAGTACAAGTACACACATATTTTTTTTATCAAAAATTGAAGGATTATTAATAATGCCGAATTTCCTAAGCAAAAAAACATACGGATGAATTAAAGAAAGTTAGTGAATTTCACACTTTATGTAGTTTCAAAGCGTATTATTAACAATTCTTTATCGAAAATTTGTGTAATATTGGAATAGCTTGGAATGCAACGTCGATAAATTGTTTTCATACGCATTTTAGTAAATTGTATAATTCTAAAAATCTTAATGCATTTCATATAATGAAAAAGTGCGCCGTTTTAAAACAGGCTTATTTTTTTATAAATAATTTGCTAATTTTTCAATTTAATTTTTTTTTTATAATTTGCAATTTTTAATTGTGTTTGAGTCCTAAGTGTATTTTTGCAGTTATAGTTTATGTCTTTTTGAGCTTTAATCTTTTTAATTATGAAAAAAGATTGAATTTAATTTTTGTGGAATTATTTTAAAAATTTTGAAAAATCTATTCTTATTTTTCTTTTTTTAATTCTAAAAAGCAAATACACTCATGGGCGTGCTTAAAAAATCAAAAAAGACTCATTAAAAATTAGGAGCATAAAAATATTATTGCAGTAATGTTTTAAAGCACACGGGGGTAAAACAAAAAACATTTTAGAAAAAAATACACTTGTAAAAAAATAGTATACATATTAGGTATTTGGAAATTAATCATCTTTTTAATTAATACATTTTGAAATATTTTCCGGTTATAGCTAGGATTATCATGCGACCCGTAGGTTATCATTTGACATAACCTTATTATTGTACCATTGGCATATGTTCTATTTTTTTTATATATGTTTTGTTAAACATCGAGGAATAGCTTACAATCCACATACCACATAAATATGTTTGAATGTACATATGTATGCAAATACTAACGTCCATAAGCGAGATTTCTACAAATTCTCCTACTGCTATGTATTTTGTTTTCAATGCCTACTCATTACTCAATATTGTATTTAATTTAATACTTATTAGTGGTAACTTTAAGTTAGTTTATAATTTCAATTATTCTCTTTTATTATTGTACTGCATGTCTAGGTCATTGTCACATTGCTGCATATTTTTTTACAATTATCTTATATGTTTTGAATTCAATATTTGTATTGACAATAATATGCGTAAATTAAATATTTATTTTGAGTACATATTTGTTATTTATTTTGAGTATTTGTATGCAGATTTTACTCAACATTGCTTGTGTTTTTAAAATTATGCAACGAGTTGTGTAATACTTGTATTTAATATAATTTTCTTATCTACCAATTTCACATAATTTAAATTATTCATATTTCTTTGTCTAATATTCACCCGAAACATTCTCTTCATCATCGAGCATTTCTAGAAAAGCGCGTGGCACCAATCCTTTTAGTAAGCCCTGCTTGCCATACATGTAATCAGGATTCACTGGTGAGCATTCAGTAACGAAAATAACCTACAATATCAATTTTTTTACGTTTACATACACATACAAGGGTAGTAAAGTACGCAAAACCACACACACGGTCGCTCACCTCATTCGCATTTAAATTTAATTCGGTATGATCTTTAGCATCGTAGGCGCATAACACACGCGCTCGTTTCATCTGATCAGCTGTGAGTGTTGTATCGCCTGGATTGCGCCGCCGGCCGCCACTACCAGCGCCTACGCCAGCACCAGCCGCAGCACCAATTCCTAAACCGCTGCCGACGACACCAGCATTAAGCCCAATGCCACTAGATGCGCTGTGATTGCCACTACCATCATCATCATTGTATACATCGATCGGAACATATGGGGTGGGGCCTCCCAAACTATGCAAGATAATAGATGAATATATGCATGAAGGTAGTGTATAAGAGAATTTAAAAAAATGCAGAAATCGTTTAGTCAATCTAAAAATGGAAGAAAAGAATCCTCATTTGAATAATTGAACTAAGGGATACACCCACTTTCTTGGAATTCGTAAGCAGTATTTATTTATAACATTTATATTTTTTACGTTATACATTTTTGTCTAAAAACCAATGTAGTACAATTCTAAATATCGTGTAGCACTGTTTAACTAAACAAGCGGAAAGAGCATACAAGAGATGCATAATGTAACAGTTAACTAAGCATTAGTATTTTAACTACGCACGTGACTAGTGTTCTATCGATTTTATAACTTGGTTTGCGAATAGTATTAATTACTTGGAGAATAAATATAATTTATTGACATTATTCGAACGATTGATATTCCGAACACTTTCGGAAGTTAATTTGTAACTAAAAATTTTAACTTATGCATATAACGGAATCAGAGAGTTTATTTTATTCTGCTCATAATATGTACTATGTAAGAACTTTTTTCGTTGTATGAAACCTTCTTGGTTTGATAGATTTCAAATTCTTTTTCATACACTGATTAGAGGCATAATGTATTGTATATTCGTTGTATTATGATTAAACTCGTTTACGTTGTTTAATATCTTTTTGATTTGTTATTTAATTTACATACCTAGTTGTTTTTTAATTGATTTTGATAATATTCATCATTTTCAATCTTTTTGACTCATTACTAAAATTGTTTAGTTTGTTTATATATAAGCAATCGCATGTAAATGTCGTCAAACCTTTTTCACCCTTAAGCTTTTAAAAATACGCAGTTTAGTTAACTTATTTCGAAAGAACTCTTTACCTTTTAATTATGAAAAATGGCATATAAGTATTTTTATTTGGTTTGATTAGGTTCTTTCAAAAAACTTATTTTTACTATTAAGTTTTGAAAATTGATAAGTAGTAAATTTAAACAATTTAAGAAAGCCTATTTTTAAATTTTTTAGCAGACAATACTTCGAGAATAACACAACCTTATTTATTTCCGTTGCACACATATTAAATTTGCAGGTACATTTTTTCTAAACCGATGTTATTGCACTGGTGTCGAATTCTATATCGTACTGCTCTAAAATTTGCGTGGTCGCAAAAGGGTTTGTATTATTTGTTTGACTCTTCCATGTGCTACTGGTATTTTCTTTATCTACATTAAAATTTATACTATCGTTATTTATATCAATTGTATGAAAGTTATTTGAATCTTCATCATTATCAAATTCATCATTCGTTTCACGTGAATCGAATTTGTTTGCTTTAGCTGTTGGATGGACAATCGAGTAGTTAATCGTATTGGGAGGCCCATCCACATCTTCACTGTTTATGCGTAGGCGCGGCTTTACGGGTCGCATTCTGCAAACCAATTGATGTCATTCACTTATTTTCTTACCAAATTTTATAGCTTTTTTTGCAATGCATGTGTGAAAATTTAAACTACAAAATCTATGTGCATACCTATACATACATATAAATACGTGCTAATGAAAGTTCTATAAGATTTCGTTGTTGAATGTGGGTGTGGTCTAAATTTGAAAGTACATAATTAATTCGAAAAAAAAATCAATATCTTTTTACATATACCTACATATGTATATATGTATGTATATACGCAAATATGAAATTTACTACTTTCAAAGACTTTCAAGTTTTCAATTATAGTGTGCGACTTACTTGGCCAAATCGCGCTGCAAATTATTCATTGCGTCAATGCAGTGCTTATAGTAACGTACTTGCGTTTCTACAAATGCGTGCAAATGGCGTAAATGCGATGCTTGCGATGTGCTGATTCCTTCCAGCAATACCTTTGTTATCTCTGCTTGGCGATCAAATTCTGCTTGTGCAACACGTAAATCTCGTTCGGCCTGTGAAAAGTTTAATGGTTCAATTAAAAAAGTCAGCGTATTGATGAATATTGGCTTTTCATGTCTAATAATTAAGTACCTGTTCTAGAACTACCTCAGGGGAGATACCATCTTTCTAATATTTCCACATTAAAGCAGCATGAAATAATTTATTTTGCGTTAAGATCTTACATAACAAAATTAAGATTAAATAAAGACGTTCAACAATTTTAAAGAAAATTACAATTAGTAATTGAGTATGAAATCAATTCAAAATTTAAACGTCCTTCTTGTCTTTTTAATTTTCTCCCGGAAATTTTAACTTCAGCAACAACCGGATATCCACAGGCTACCATCAACATTCACCCAAACTACTATAGTAAATATATTTATGCACATATGTCTGTATGTACATACAATTCATATGTAAATACGTGTGCGGTAGCTTATCCCTAACTCTTACCGCCTGTTGACCCAGCATACTTCTGGCTTTCTTCACGCGATTTTTGCATGCATCTAAGTCCAAGCTGCAATAATTTGAAGTAATTAAAAAAATTCCTTAACTCATTCAAATGGTATCAGATATCTACTCACCGTTTTGTTTCCAATATGCCACGCTCTTTTGTAATGGTTTTCATTTCACCTTCTAAAAATTTGCGCAAAGGCTGAGTAAAACATATACCAGATGAGGCAATGAAATCACGCTCGCACTGCCCGAGTTTTTGTTCTGCTTGTCCAACTTTTATTAAAGCTTGACCGTACGGTAGATCTTGTCCAAAATCTCCACCGGCCTCAATCATATCCAATGCCAAGTGCTCCAAATTGCTCAATCGTTGCGGTTTTGTTTTTTCAATTTTATCAAAAATAAAATCTTCAATGCGATTCTGCGGATTCGGTATCAATACCGTTTCGGAGTCGCGTACTATCTTTTCTGTCCATGCTTTTGTTAAATCCGCACGTTCAGCCAGATTCTGGAACTCATTATCATATTCAGTGCGTTCGGTGGTGCCGAGTTTTTCCTCCGTCAGCTAGAACAATAAACGCATATGTATATATAATGTGAATCGATGTTTCGGGAAAGGTGGCATGCCAAGGAAAACGTAAAAGGTATGTCATGTGCACAATGTCATTTACATCCCATCGTCTTAAAGTGGCACATATTTCGATAATTCCTTTGTAATACTGTCACCTTGCCAATTGACCATGCTCTGTAACAATGGCCAATATGATTTGCACCCACCACCCACTGACATAACAGCACACTCAGACCCATAGGCCTTTTTAAGCCCATTACCTGCACTACTCTGGATAATGTACTCCCCGCCTCCTTCACAAGATTTTTCACATTAAAGTTTGGCAAATTTATATTCATTTTTGTAGGATATAAGATTTACGTTAGTTGATAACTTGATAACGAAATAACAATATTTTTGAGGCGAATTTGCAATATTTTTTTGCAATTTATCCTTTTCCGTTGTTTTTTTCTATGCAAAAATTCCCAATAGTTTGCAATAAGGTTGCAATTTTGATTGATATGCCAGGAAGGAGAAAAACAGAAAACAGCGTTGTAATTTTGATATTTGTAACTTTAACCGATAACTTTTCGGTGTCCAACCTAGTTCTATCGATTATTTTTGAGAAGGAGAGAAATGCCAAATGTAAAGGTAAACAAAATTGGACGCTAGCAGGAAAAGAGGTTTGTGAATGTAGTTTTAATAAACTATTAAGTTAAAATATACTTAAATTCCTTAACATAGCAGAAAAAAGTGATTACGGTGGCAAAGAGAAGAAACTTAATTTTTCTAGCTAATAATCTGAGATTTATGTGAACATACTTTTAAATATTAGGAGTCTTCACCATGGGTAGCTAGATATGAAACTCTCTCATTTTTTCTGAGAGCGCGCCCAGGAACTCGTTTTCGAACTTGGCAGCACTGCCAATCCCTGGGCAGATAAACAGCTGACACGCGAAGTGGCGAGCTACCACTAAATGTGTGGAAAATACATCACATTGAATTCAGTGGATGTTTTCTTCCCGCATTTTTTAATATTACTATAAACCAGTATTTGTAATTAACGCAATTTTCCTGACAGTATAAACAGTGAAATATAAAATAGATATGAAGAATATTGCAACTTTTGTTCGTTGTGTTTAATCAAAAGTTTCTCCATAAATTTCTCCATAAATGCCCATACACGTTTTCGTCACAGTGGCTCTACTGGAGAATGTTATAAAAAAAAAACTTTGACAGCGCTCTCACGAGAAAGAGTTTCATATCTAGTTATCCATGTCTTCACGCCGAGCATTGTACTCGGTAACTCGGTGTTAAATAATTTTTCCCAATGTATTTTGTTTTTGTAAAATTATTTTATTATCTCCAAACACAATAACATTAAACTTTCAAGCAGGTGGCAAGAAAAATAATTATATTTTATTATCGGCTTAACGATTACTGAATTATCGTAGTGATAAGTTTGATAATTTTTCTGCTAGCTGGTAAGCTGATAATCGTTTCGATATTTATAACTAGTAATTAAAATTCTTTAAATTTTCTGTTTCGTCTTCGACCCATGCATATAACAGGGGGTCGGTAACGTCGATAACGATGTTTAACCGCAGATTAGTGTTAACCAGACATTTAGTAACCGGCCCTTACTATATCAATTATTTTTAGCCTCCTTCCAATTTCAATTAACTTTTTTTACTTTTTAGATTATTCTCACTTTTTGCGTATTCCTTAATTTCCGTTAATTTAAATTCAGTTGAGTTTGACACTTTTCAGGATTATGCCAGAAAAAATTCTTCTGACTAAATCTGACTACTTCGGACTGAAGAGAGTCACTCTCACTGACTGTTGCTCTCTCATTTTTGCTGTCATTTTCAAGTAAAGGAACGCTTTTTGGTCTAAATCTGACTACTTCGGACTTTTTCTGACTATTTCTGGGAGATAAGGAACGCAACTATAATCTCAATCAAAGCTCGTCCTTTTTATCAGTCCGTTTACACATGCGAATCTCAGATTATTCGGCGTAAATTTTTTCGTGCTTGTTATTCTCACAACTCAAGGAAAAGTTAAGTTTCTTCTCTGTGCCACCGTGATAACTTTTTTCTGTTATATAAAGTAATTTAAATATATTTTAACTTAATATTTTATTAAAAATACTTTGACAAACCTCTTCCTTGCTAGCGTTCCTTTTTGTTTACTTTTACATTTGACATTTCTCCTATTCTTCTCAAAAATAATCGATAAAACTAGGCTGGACACCGAAAAGTTATCGGTTTAATCTCACATTATTTTATAATAGTTGTGTTCGCGTAGCTGTTAATTGTTCATGTTTAACCAAAACTTACTTGCACAAAAAAAATTATTGAAAATCGCCTAAAAATAACTGAAATAAACCACCGACAAAACACACATATAGAAAGATGCAAAACAGATATAGCAAACTTCAAAATTACGAACGTCACGCACTTTTTTCTCAATTGCTATTACAAATGGCTGCTTCTCAGCCTGATCTTTCTAATTGGTTCATGTTATATACCCATGTTATGTGAAGTTGGATCATGTTATATACCCATATGAAACGTGCGATGGCGCCGGATTTTTGAAACAGCCCGTTTATAATACAATAATAATAATAATACAATAATAATGGTTATCGACACAACTTCATCGATTAATGCTGATCAGCTGATAAAATTGTTGTACTAATTGGTTTTCTGGCGGTTTGTTATTTAATTCACCTTTAGTTTTATACATTTTAAAAACTCCAGTTCTCCTCGGTATAATTATACTTGTTCGAAGAAGAAATATTAATCAGTAATTAAAATTTATTGAGACATGGAGCCACCTCCAACTAAAAAACCTAAAATGGACGTTGCCTCTTCGGGAGTTATTATACTTAATCCTGCTGGTGCTCCTGGAAAGAAAGTGGCGGATTCTAAATTTATCCACTCTAATCCCAAAAATGTATATCCCGTAAAACAATTCGAATTGCATTTTGTTGGAAAAGATAATAATTTTGAAAACATTTCAGACTGGAGCTCCTGCATCTCTGCGCATTCTACCGAAATTGGCGCATACTACAATTATTAAAAAAAGTGTACAACCAATTGCCGCTAGGTCTGTAACACTTTCAACACCAACGATCCAGCTGGATAAGCCAGTTGCAACTGGAAGAGAATCGCTATTAAAACAGCAAAATCAGTTAACACAGCAAAATACCCTTAAGACAACAACAACTACACTTTTACAGCAACCGCCCGTAAAACTAACGACACAACAACAACTTCCGAAACCGTTCACCATACAGACAAATAACTCTATACGCCCAAATACCCAAAACTCCACTTTAAAACAAACCATTTTACCATCTAAAGCTTATAAATGGCAAACAACTCAAGAATATCTGATGGCTAAAAGGCAATCTACGTAAGTAATTATTAATGTTCCTGAGCACTTGTAGCTCCATATATTGGTATTTTCTTTCAGCGCAAACGGATTGACTCAGCAAAATAATCCTGCAAAATTAGCCACAAATCAGCAAATAACAAAACCATTGAATATACAGGCTAAAAACTATACACCGCAAATTTCAATGACTTCAGTTCCAAAACCTCGTAAGTTGCTGCCTAAACCTCAGGTACCAACGGCTACGCTTCAGACAAATGTTACACCTCAGCAACGTTCAGAGCCGCAGTTCCAATATATTGAATTGTACGTTGTCGTAAGCCATTTTGGACTCGAATAATCGTTTTTTTTTCTTCTTTCAGCATAAATGAAGCGTTATTTGATTATGAGGAAACTAATAAAAAGCAAGTTATTTCAGTGTCTGATTCTGAAGATAATACCGCAGAGATTGAGGAAAAAACTCTAGAGTAAATGTTTAATTCAAAGCTATTCGACTGGATTGCTTTTTTATTTTTCTTGAATTATGTTTACAGATATTTGTTGCAAAAACGCAAAACCCCCTCAATCGACTTAGAAACGGAAACGCGGCACGCAGAGTGTGTTTCAAAATGTGTTCAAACCGATCAACCGTAAGTTAAAAAAAGAAAAAGCAAAAAAAAAACAATCATCTTATTCCTTCCACTATTCAAAGAGATGATGATCGAGTTTATTGCGGCTTCGTAAATGTTACAAAAGATGGGTCTGACAAATATTTTAATCTTCGCTGCTTTTATTGCGATGCAGAGTATCCGATATCGTTTTATTCAGATTTTTCTGATCATATAAATGAAAATCATGGTAACCTGGAAAAGGTTCATGTCAATGAAAACCATGGGAACTTGGAAATGTTTCATGTTGAAAACGATGATAAGAATACTACAAATGAAATGGTATTTAGCGATTTTTCTGATTCGAGTGACGATATGCCACAAGAAGATTCGCAACATAGAAAACTCTTTATCAACTTAATCGATACGGGAGCTAAGGAGACATATATTCCATCAATGAAAAACAAGAAGGAACTGTTACCAGAAGATTTTGACGATGGCGAGGAGCCTGAAACCGGAAGTGAATCAGAATCAAATTACATGTGTGTAGAAAAATATGACCCCAATATTGATCACTGCTACAGTCAAAGCGGCTCAAATGTAACTGAACATGTTATGATGATTTATTAGCTGTTTATTTATGAATTTAAAAATTGTTTTTCAGAAATTCAAATTCAAGAGTGATGCACAGCCAGTGGATGAGGTAATCAGAATATATAAGGCCTCTTTTACAACTGTAAAAAAGTAGCTTAACTTAGCTCACTATTAATACGCAGTATCTATTTTCAGATAATTTTCGGCAAAACATCACGTGAGATTGTGTTGGATTTTTTGGATCATTTAAAAGGATTCTCGTGTTTGTGGCGCCATCGTGACTTGGCGCCGGTGAATTATGATAATGAACTGTTGGATTTGATGGATATATTGGTAGACAAATGGGGACTTAATTTGAAAATACGACCTTTTCGCAAAAATTTGGAGAATATAAAATCTTGGTATATTGGGATGACCATATCGAAAGAAGAGATGGGTGAAAAATTCAATGAACACACATATATCGATTTCTATAAAAAATGTGCAGAATACTTGCCCGTTGGAAACACGAGTAAACAACATAAAATTCACTGTAATCTGTGCGATCGTTTTTGTTTTGACATGATCGGCTTACAGATGCACAAATATAGAAAGCATAAAATTGGGCAATTGCCCCATGGGTGTAGTAAGTGCGACAAACGTTTCGATTATGTGCACAAATTGCGTCGCCACATACTGAAGAATCACACGATCATTCCGGTGCCGATTCGTAAGTATGTTCCACCGAAACCTGCACCGCCGCCGGAGCCAGATACCAAATGCTTCGAATGTAACACTGACTTTCCCAATTCAGAGGAATACAAAAGACATTTGGAAATCCATCCTAGAGGTGACTGCCCTTATGCATGTGAAGAGTGTGGACGTCGATTTAAAACTGTCTCTGTTCGTAATTCGCATAAAAAACGCCATCAAGAGCCAAGCTTTCAATGCTTATTGTGTCCGAGAAAATTCTTTTTCGCGTATCACTTACAACAGCACATTAGTTGCCACAAAGGTGATCCGAACTATATTTGTGAATTGTGTGGGAAAACATTCATCCGTCAAAAATTATTCAAGGAACATGTCGACTATGTGCACCTCGGTCGTGGCTATTGTAAAATTTGTGATCGTCACTATCATAAGAGGTCTATACTCCATAAACATTTATGTAATGTGCATCGACCGGTAATTGGCTCAGTTGATGATCTGGCAAAACGTCGTCGTCAAATGCTCCGCGAACCGGGAAGTAGGAAGGGCTTAGGGGCAGGACCCCGCCCCCAAACAAGAAAGTACACATACTTGACTGATCCTGTGACGCAAAAACGTCGAATCGCATGTCCCAAATGTGATAAGAGCTATTATCAATATGATTCTTTATACGCACATGCCAAGAAGGTCCACGGTTCTCTTCCTGGTTATCTGGAGCGGCCAACGGGAAACCAAAAAACAACGAATCGCAAAAGAAAACGAGGTGGCAAAAAAATTGATGATATGGAAGATGAAGCAGCATCTGCTGTTAACGCAATCACTACAAGGTCTGCTATAAAACTCGACGACAGTGCTATAGATCACAACAATCCAGTCGATCCAAATTCTAGCGGTATTACAGAACCCAACAAAAGCCCTGTCGCTAACAATTATAGTGCTCCCGAAAGTGAGATTAAAGTTGAAAGAAATATGACTACAATGTCTTTTGAAAAGTTTGTTGATGAAATTGCCATGGGCAGTAACTTTGTTCCAAGCAGTTTACCAAATTTAAATGAACAGTCGCCGGTAAAAAACGAGGCAGCACCGTGTGTCAAAAGCGAAGAGTTTGAAGTTAATGATTATGAGTTTATGTTAAATGGTAGTTCCGTTTTAAATTTTTAATGATTTTTTGTTATAAATTTCTTAGATTAACCATTTTTAATGCTGCAGTGTATGAACGTATTTAAAATAACATAACATTCGTTATAAATGAAAAGGTCCTATTTGCAATAATTTTGGAAAATTTTTCCTTTAGTTTGCTTTCATATAGTCGACCTCACCGAAATTCAAAGCAAAATACGAGATTTATTTGCATCTTAAGATCCATCCTATACAAATTTAATAAGTTTTTACTTTAATGGCGCGGATATTATAGAAAACAAATACTGAAACATATCGTAGGTATAGTATGGAAAGGGCGTAACTCACAATGTCGCTGAAATACAAAAAGCCGTAACTAACTAAAAATCCAAAATTCACTTTTTGATTGATGCCTTTCATCGAATTATAAGTCCCCACATCGTTTAATGCAATAAAAAATGTTAGTTAGATGTGGCTTTTTTGTATTTGAGCGACGATACGCCCTTTCCATACTATACTAACGACAAGTATGTGTAATATATTTAACTTTAATGGAATAAATTTTGTCTATCTACTTCATATTTACCTCATGAGTTTTTGTACTAAGCAGATATATACAATAGTCTGGTCTGACTGAGTCAGTATTGCAATTGAATTCCCCGTGGGTTGAAAACTTATTTCCGAGCGGGGCGTTTTGACCTCTTAGAACCATGCTCTCATGTGGGAGTTTTAACGAATGTTTAAAAAGATTATTATTAAAAAAATTTCTTCCATTTCAATAGAGACATAAAATCATAGAACTAACGGCCGATTGTTCGCCTACTATAAGTACTAGCTTTTAAAATAGCGTCGGCAATATAATTTCTCAATTAAAAGTAAAAAAAATTATGATTCATACAGAAAATTAATACAAAAAAATGTGAAAAAATGGTGATTTTATTGAAAGTATTTTGAATTTTCAGTGCATTTAAAGCAGTTCGCGGCATATGGAATGCGGCTCCTTTCTTCCGTACATCGTGCAACGGTACACCGCTAAACCGAAAAAATGGCAACTCTGCCAACTACTCACGCTTGGCTGAGGTGAAAGCAAAACTAAAGAAGAGTTAATTCCACATGACCACACATTTTAAAGCGTTTTAATTAATAATTTTACATAAATTGTTGACACTTCCCACGAAGTAGTTGACACTTTTCGCGAAGTAGTCGACACTTCTCACGAAGTAGTTGGCGCACAGGCCACGAAGTAGTTGATACCAAGGCGAATTGATATAAGGTGATAGCAAGAGAACAAAAACAAAAATGTACATGCATTTGGTTTTTGCTTTGGCGGCATAAACTGTCAAAATCTGTAAGTGTGTGTGTGGAAATTCAAACAAATTTTTTCAATTTGATATTAGAAGCCGTGAGGCGAAACACATACACAAAATCAGCTGATCTAGTAACACCACCTTATATAAATTCGCCTTGGTTGACACTTTACGCGAAGTAGTTGACACTTCCCACGAAGTAGTTGGCGCACAGTAGTTCGTTTCTGTAACAATTCTCTACCAAGGCGAATTGAGATATGAATTCGCCGCCCTGTTCTCTACTGCTAATTAGTAGGTGAGAATGACGTATTTTCTCTACCAGTAGAGAAATAATCGGTAGAGAAAAGTTACAGAAACGGGCTACAGGTCACGAAGTAATTGAAACTTCTCACGAAGTAGTTGGCACTTTTCGCGAAGTAGTTGACAGTTCAGAGTAGTTTACGGCAAGAGCGGCAACTCTACCAATCGCGGCGAGTAGTAGGATTGTTCGATATTTAAGAAAGTATCGATATCATGAATCGATTTAATTCATTGCATGTAAAATCCATATGGCGATATATCGGGCTGAACAATATCGATATCGGAAAAATCGATGTTGAAAATCCTACTCCCAATTTAATAGAATGTTAGACCTGCCTGTCAACTCACCTAATTGTGTTAGTCGACGTTCAGACACGAAAACTTTTGTTGCGGAAACTCGAAGCTTGTAGGGGAGAGAGCGACGAGGAAAGGGGACGGGTACCGAGTCGCCCGTACTCGGGAAACACGCTTTGTGCTCTCGTTCGTCTGAGTAATTCAAGTTGGCGATTCACAGCTGACAACAACAATTGCGTACAAAACAGTTTCTGTGTGTGAATGCAAAGGGCAACACCAAAAGAGAAATCGCCGATAATAAGAAACTCGAGTTTCCGTGTTTGAACGCAGACTAATTTCCATTTTGTATATCTACTGAGGATTAAAACGGCATGCCGGTCGAATTAAGCGGTTTGTGAAATTGTTGTGTGAAATAAATCACACAAGCTGCTGATTAAACCTACTTTAGTATTTTCCCATACACTTTTTTGTAGATGAAAGATAAATTTCAACTTAAATATCGATATTGCGGGTAAAGTATCGATGTCTTCGATATATCGACCTTGGACTATCGATTCGAAAAATCGATTATCGTGCGATATCATTCAGAATAATCGACACGGGTACTGTTTATGAATTTGTACAACGATTTTGGGTTGCTGTGCCCAAACACGTGAATCGAATCAAAAAACTTTATATGGTATTTGTTGCAAATTTTTGTTATAAATTTGTATATACATTTTTATATACAAGATATTTTTATAAAATACCCAGTAACCAAAATGGACATCACTAGGGCGGCAGCCCCAGGTTTACCATACAGAAAGAGAATTCTAGTTACCTCATCCTTTCCCAAGGTTACATCACTGGGGCGGTAGCCCCAGAAAGGTGTTCTCTGCAAAAGGTGTTCAGCCCCCCTTCTTCGGACGCAAGTTTAACTTTGTTTTTTCCTTGCAAAAAATCTAAAATTCCCCTATTTTCAAACAGCTCCCCAGTGGTCTGTGGGAGGGGTTGGGGGGGAGTGGTGACTTTTCATAAAGCGGCATCAATCCTCTTTCGTTTAGGGGGATATGTGGGGCCCACACCCCCGCCCCTCCGACCCCACACCTAAATCGTTGTACAAATAGCTAAACATTTCCCATCGACACGGCAAGGCGAATACATTTTCGATATCGGAAACATAGATGTTGAAAATCTTACTTCCAATTGAATAGAATATTAGACCTGCCTATCAACTCACCTAATTGTGTTATTTCCATCTTGTATATTTACTGAGGATTAAAACGGCATGCCGGTCGAATCAAGCGGTTTGTGAAGCTTAAGAGCTAAATAAATCACACAAGCTGCTGATTAAACCTACTTTAGTATTTTCCCATACACTTTTTTGTAGATGAAAGATAAATTTCAACTTAAATATCGATATTGCGTGTAAAGTACCGATGTTTTCGATATATCGACCTTGGAATATCGATTCAAAAAATCGATTATCGTGCCATTAAATATCGAAATTCAGAATAATCGATACGATATCGAACATTCCTATGCCGGTCGACTAAAGCGGTTTGTCAAACTTAAGAGCTAAATAAATCACAAAAGCTGCTGATTAAACCTACTTTAGTATTTTCCCATACACTTGTTTTGTAGATCAAAAATTAATTTCAACTTAAATATCGATATTGCGGGTAAAGTATCGATTTTTTCAATATATCGACCTTGGAATATCGATTCAAAAAATCGATTATCGTGCGATATTATTCAGAATAATCGACACGGCAAGGCGAATTCATTTTACAACAAACACATCATTTTGACATTAAAAGTACCGCGGCGAAAATCTAAATTCGCCCATCAACATCACCTTGTATAAATTCGCCTTGCAAAAAGTTCAATGCAGTAAAAGTGTAAAAATCATTTGAAATTTTATTTAAAAACTCTTTCGAATTTAATGAAAGAATTCATTTGCAAAACGTAGCAATAACGCGTAGTATAAGTGGAAGTTAAGAGTAAAGTGTTTACAATAGCTTCGGTTGTGATAAGCGATCGCGCGTTTTTGTGTATTGCGTTGGTTTTTTCGGACAAAGTTTTAGAATATTCGTTCACACTTATGTATGCCCTGGGATTATACTTCATTAACTACGCGCTGATATGCACTAATGAATGATGTGCAAAGATTTGGCATACGGTTTCCAGAGTTGATAGTGATTATTGTGGCGTTGGCCAACCGTTGGCCACGGGCCTAGTGACATACGCGTGCCCCACTAAGCTAACTAATGAAAGTCTCAAATACATGTACTTTGTCATTGCTGTGTCAATGTGGAGCTTCCTCTTAAGTGAATTTAAAGCAATAACTTGCAAAAAAATAAATAAATAAAATACCTATTAGTTATAATTTCAAAATGGATTCAAGCACAAGTATTGGTGAGTAGTTTACTTTCTTGTATCTTATATCAAATTCGCATTTCAAATTGAATTTTCAATTTAGCTGCTGCCTTGGCTATTCTGGCCGCAGCGTGTATTCTTGGTCTTTTGAATTTGAAATCAAAAATTAATTAGCTAATTTAGCTTTGGTGAGTGGTTTTGGTATCTTCATTTAAAGTGGAGGGATTGTTATTAAAAGTTTATGTTTTGTACAACAAATAGTAAAATATCTGAGGACATAGTGTTAAGACACCAATGGGCTGGTCGCTATGCAGCTCAGTCAAGAAACAGTCGCAAGCAGCATTGAAGTAAAATATACTGCAGCAGTTGAGAAGGCTTAAAGTTAAACTGGGTGATCGAATTTTATTATGTAGTACATAAATCATGTTTTTTTTACAATGTTCATAGTAGATATATTATCCAATCTTGTGGAAAAATTTTAACGTCATTGCAAAGTAAATGGACGGCGGTGCCTCCAAAATAAAAATTCCCTTTAAAGGGAAATTTTTTCTTTAGTGTTGCCAGAGAATTTCTTTGTTTTTATACATTTTGAATAAATAAAGGTTGCAAGTCGTGACTGCAACTCAAAGACTGCAAATCTATTTCGGAAATATATTTCATCTTGCTTGCAATTTCTGAGAATGTTTAGCTATAGGCCCTCTTGTTTTGGGTTAGTGGGCGGAGGAGCAGTTGGCGTGGCTCTTCGATACCCCACTCACTAGAAAGCACAGCTCAGACTTTAAAAAAGTTATACCTCACCCCTCCAACCCAAAAAAAACCCCAGTATTTTTTGCGCAGAACTTGGTGATGCAGTCACATTAAACTAATCAATATCTTAAAAATGGCGTTCTCCGTTTTTGGATATCTCCTTTATGAGATATTGAGTAAAAAGTGTCGTTAATTTGGTAGAAATTTTGATAACACTGTGGTATTGTGGACAAATTACGCTTAGGACAAATTCTTACTAAAGAAAATCCTTCATAAACTTAAAACTAATTAACAATAAACATTACAAATTAAATAATTTAAGGATTTTGGTAACAAGTAACATTTTCAGATACGTTGGAGAAAATCTATCTTCGCGTTTTTGAGAAATTACATTCCAAACTTCAATCGTGATTTCCCACAACCTGCGGAAATTAACATACGGCAATCTTACCCAGACGACGATATGCACAAGATCTTGAACAGCCCTATTGATTGTAAATTATCAGCATTGTTTTAGGTCTTTAAAGACTCAATAAATAAATATTGTATGTGAAAATTAAAGCTGTTCCTCTATTTGGAATCAGTGTTGCCATTTTGGTACTTTTGGAGCTAGATTTAGCTCTTTATTTTTCTATTTAGCTCCGAAATTTGGGTTTTAGCTCTTAGCTCTTTTTTTAAGCTCTTTTAAAATTTATATAGCACTTTTTTAACTCCAGAAAGTTTTAGTTGTATTTGGTATATATAAGCCAAAACTTAAGCGTTAATAAAATGGAAAATTTTGAGAGGCAGTGTATCTACCATAAACTCTGGGATCCAGGTTACAGAATTCAAAAATTAATTAAAAGAAAATCCTTTTTTATATAGCTTGGAGTTTTTTTTTACCTTACTAATTTTACCTTTAAGGAGAGCTGGAAGTAAAACTTTTAATTTTGCGCAAAAATTATTAAATTGAAATATCTGAAATTACAGACTTTAACAGTTTGTAAGGTATTTTTAGTTCATTGTTATAAGTGCCATAGCAACGAATTCGAAATAGGTACACCTTATTTTGGTTTCAAAAGATTTTTTCAGCACTTAAACTTATAAAATTCGTTATTTTTGTTAAAATTGCCGAAAATGTGAAAACAACCTTACGTCAATAAATGCTCAACCTTAACAAAAATATGTAGCTCTTCATTTAAGCTACTGTTAATATTATTTAGCTCTTTTTAGCTCTTTTTTTGAACGTTTTAGCTCCAAATGAAATTTTTTCTCTGGCAACACTGAGCCACATGCTTTTTTATAAAGAGATCTATTTCAAAGACACAGCGACCCTATCCTCGTAAGGGTAAATGAAATAACAAGCTATGAACGCGGCCAGAGCGTGCTTGAATTATTGAGAAAACAATGTTTAGTCCTGTAAATAGTAATATCACTATAATCAATGGAGTAAACGCCCCCGAGCCCTCAGTAAAAGCTTACGGAGTCGACATCCTGCCGTCCGACTATTAAGGGGGACGAATAGAAACTTCTAAGCTGCAAAAAAATTTGCATGGGCTGATAGCTTGCAAAGTATAGTCGGACGAACACAACCCTGATAATCGAAATTTAAAAATGCTGTAGCCAAACGATAAACTGACGGACGAAATCCAGAGACCTGGGAACGCCCTTTGGACCACAATAGCTGAACTTCGCTCTGGCTATTGCAGCAGGTTGAACTCGTACCTGAGCAGAGCGTTCGTCATACGGCTAGAAACATCTCTTCGCGTGCCCACTAAACCCCACTCAACTGACGCATCTGTCCCTATCGACGGATCCTATGAAGGGTTTCGCCGATCTAAGCGGGGTTAGATCGCCGAAACAACAGCCCATGGTCGAGTAAAACCCGAGTCATTCCGGTACGTAGAACCGGCTGTCTTTGGAATGAGTCCAAGAAGAATTGAACAAGGGGTTCCACAAGGTGGTGTTCTCTCCCCCTTACTATTTAACTCCTACATCTCGGAGCTGACGAATGCTCGATTTTGGCATCCGGGAATGGAATTGATGACCTCTGCTCAAAACTAAACGACTATATCTCCAGCCTTTCTCGCTCCTTCACTGCAAGAAGCCTAACACTCCCCAACGAAATCAACGGCGACCCTCTTCACCACCTGGACGAAGGAGGTCAGGCTAGAATTAGGTATACACGTCGATGGCACACCAATACCGACTGTAAACAACCCAAAAATTTGAGGGGTCACCTTCGATAGCCTGCTCTCCTACTCCACGCTTACAAACGCAGTTGTCAATAAAGCACAGAGCCGTAACAAGGTCCTCAAGTCGCTCGCCGGCAGCACTTGGGGCAAAGACAAAGAAATGTTGCTGGCAACATACAAGGCAATTGGGCGGCCGGTTCTAAACTATGCCGCGCCTTGTCAGAACGCCGCACTCCGGACAGCGACTGGGTGCCTTCTGATGACGCCTGAGCACCACCTACACAGCGAGGCCCTAGTACTCCCCATAAGCAATGCTTTGTAAGCAATTTCTGGTGGGGTGTTACAGGAGCGAACACCCAAACAGACCTCTGCTTCAGGAGAAGCCTCCGCCCAGGCACGTCAGGGGCACCTATTCGTATAAAAGGACGCAGTCCAGCAATACGTAGACCAAGCACTGGACCCGACGACATACAGACGAGCCATTAACGACATCCATAGAGAGTCAGTCACCACCTACCTCGACTCTCGACCTATGAATGCCGTAATAGGAGCCCAATCACCACCTGTAGAAGAGACAGAGCTTCAATTGCCAAGAGAGACCCGCGTTACCCTGGCTCATTTACGGTCTGGATACTGTAGCCGCCTCAACAGCTACCTGTCCAGACTCGACCCCAATATCCCCAATGAATGCCCGGCATGTGGAGAATCCCCTCACGACACCAAACACCTCTTCACATGCCAGCTCAATCGGACTCAGCTAACACCCCTCTCCCTCTGGTCCGAACCCCTTGAAACAGCTCGTTTTCTGGGCCTCCCGTTAGTTGAGCTTGACGAAAATGATTGAACGTTGACCCGATATAGGCGGGGCTTAGAAATGCCGCTACTACAACAACAACAACGGATCCTATAGAAACTGCACGCTTCTTGAGCCTCTCGTTAGTTGAGCTTGACGAGAACGATTTAGAGACTAGCCGATCTGTATGGGGTCGTTGTAGCCGCTACAACAACTACACCAACAACCTTAATATGGCAAACAAGACTATCAAGTTTTTTGACTGAACGTCTTAAGGCCCGTTGACGGTTAGCCTTTTCAGTGTGGCTTTAGAACTGCTAGATCCACCTTGGATAGATAGTATTTACCATACACCAAGTCTTGGAAAAGAACCGATGGGGGAGGATGGTCATACCATCTTTTTGTAAATTTTTAGGGCAATTAAACTGAGTTTAAAGAACGGCCGTGCATTGAAATACTGGCCCTTAGTACAGCAAGAAAAAAAGTATATGTGCTTGTAATTCCTATAGGGCATACGTTTAGAACTAAAAACGACGCGTAGATGGCGCTCTTAATTATCGTCATTTGACATTCGGCTATTATGAACTTTTTGGGGTTAGATTTACGCAATTGACTTTTACACGGAATATTAGCGGCGTGAATTTTCTCTCGTATTTCCTTGTAATATCAAAGAAAAACTTTGTAAGTATTAAAAATATCAACCCAATTGCTATATTTTACAAATGATCAAATACATATTCGATGTTTCATCAGAATCATCAAGAGGAGCAATGTCTGCTTTTGTTGCCGTACGTCAAGCAAGTGCACTGAGCGTTGCGGTCGCTGCTGTGGGTCGTTGCAGCGCTGGCCGTCGAGCATTTAGTACTGGACGACTGATTCGTAGTGCGAGGGGAACTGCTGCTGCACTTTTGCGTTGTCCACATCGTCTACCCACATTTTCTGCGGCCCCACCTACTTTCCAACATTATGTGCGATCATATGCAAATGAGAAAAGGGTATTCGAGCGTACCAAACCCCACTGCAATGTCGGCACAATCGGTCATGTGGATCACGGAAAGACCACTTTAACGGCTGCTATCACCAAAGTGTTGGCAGAAAAGGAACTAGCTGAAAGTAAGAAATACAATGAAATTGACAATGCGCCAGAGGAAAAGGCACGCGGAATTACTATCAATGTAGCTCACGTGGAATACCAAACAGAATCCCGTCATTATGGCCACACTGATTGCCCCGGTCATGCTGATTATATTAAAAATATGATCACCGGTACGGCGCAGATGGATGGCGCTATACTAGTGGTTGCTGCCACTGACGGCGCTATGCCACAAACTCGTGAACATTTATTGCTAGCAAAGCAAATCGGCATAAACCACATTGTAGTGTTTATCAACAAAGTTGATGCTGCTGATCAGGAAATGGTCGACTTGGTTGAGATGGAAATTCGTGAGCTGATGTCTGAGATGGGTTACGATGGAGATAATGTGCCTGTTGTGAAAGGCTCGGCGCTGAGTGCTTTGGAAGGCCGAAATCCTGAAATTGGATCCGAGGCAATTATGAAATTGTTGAACGAGGTTGATAACTTTATTCCTACACCTGCACGTGAATTGGATAAACCTTTCTTACTGCCAGTTGAAGCTGTGTATTCCATTCCTGGACGAGGTACTGTCGTCACCGGTCGTCTGGAGCGCGGAGTGGTTAAGAAAGGCAACGATTGCGAATTTGTGGGCTACAATAAAGTTATTAAATCTACAGTAACTGGTGTTGAGATGTTCCATCAAATTCTTGATGAAGCCCAAGCTGGTGATCAGTTAGGGGCTTTGGTACGTGGTGTGAAACGCGATGATATCAAACGTGGTATGGTAATGTGCAAGCCTGGTTCAGTTAAAGCGCTTGATCAGCTGGAAGCACAAGTGTACATATTAGCGAAGGAAGAAGGTGGTCGCCATAAGCCATTCATGTCATTCATTCAATTGCAAATGTTTTCTCGTACATGGGATTGTGCAGTGCAAGTACAGATACCCGATAAAGAGATGGTGATGCCTGGCGAGGATACTAAATTGATTTTGCGTCTCATAAGACCAATGGTATTGGAACAGGGGCAGCGATTCACATTGCGAGATGGCAACTTAACCTTGGGCACAGGTGTTGTAACGAAAGTACTGCCGCCACTTTCTGAAACCGAACGCTTATCGTTGACCGAAGGCAAGAAGGCACGTGAGAAGAAGGAAGCTGCCAAGAAATAAACTAGTGAAACGGTTTTTGTTTTAATTATATTTAGTTTTATATGAATATCTAATACCTTTGTAATTTTAAAGAGGGAATCGGAATGTGTAATGAAAAATGTGCTTCAATTGCATTTCGATTTTTATAATTGAGTATGAAAGTTGCATTCAACTTCATAATTCCATACATCCAGTTGATCGCTAAATAAAAAAGTTGGACCAATATGTAAAAAAATTTTGCTTTCCTGTATTGATGTCGAAAAAAAAACGGGATGGGTTGAGCGCCGAAAAATTTAGAGTTGCAGACCATGAGGACGGAATGGGTAACATTCCCACGACAATTGGGTCTACGTAACCGGAGCGACCCAGATTTATATATGGCCTAAGACTGCCACTCCAGCAACACTCCCCAAAAACCTTTTGGGAACTTGTAAGCTGCTACAACACCGGATTGGGTAAAGAAGAATCGATCAGTCTAACAATATTGGTATACATTTTGCGTTATCCTGACATCCAGGAAATTATACTATAATTCTTGATAGGGGCTATAAATATAAATGTGTGTGCATTTAGCGCTTACACATTTTTCTTCGTGTTTGGCCGGGCTTCTCCCCAATTTATGACATGCGTCTTGAATGTTGTTATAAAAATGGAGTGAAAGACGGCTATATGCCGACTCCGCACGGCAAATGTTTTTTTTTGCGATAAGCTTTTTCATGGAAGAAGTTCACTCGGAGGTCTGCCAGGGGCCGACCGCTATTAGAATTTAAATTTTTTGGATGTTGCCCCTGTCAATACACACTAACGCCAATATTCAATACAAAATATTTCTAAAGTAAATTGCAGTAAAAACAGGATTCAAAAAAAGTAACTTTAAATACCTTGTTCTTATATAATACAACCCTCAAACCATATTTTTAAATTAAATCATTACTTCCTCAACTTTTCAGATCCGCTCAATGATTCTGCGCCAATGCCAGAACTAAGTTTTGAGGATTTATTGGACGATTCGCCTGTAAAGAAGGCAATTGCCGATATCGACGATCCTTTGGGTCTCGAAGATGAGGTCAGCACACTAAAAAATGACACTTTAAATACGCCCGGGCCCAAGAAACCACCACAACATATGAAACTAGCTGCAACCGGACCACGAACCTCGGCCACTAATCCATCGCCAAGTGCGAATAGCACAACTGAAAGGACCCCAATCATGACAGCAACATCAACAAAACTAGCTTCTGCTGCAACAAACACAGCAAGTGCTACAAAAAGCGCAACGACCACAGCAACTTCAGCACCGATTGTACTGAACAGTAGAAATATTTTACCAAAATCAGTTGCAAGTGGCAGTCAGTTAGTAAAAATTACACCAAAAATAATAGTGTCTAGCGCACCGACACTCTCGAAGAGCCCTTCAACATCAACAGTTACTGTGACAGCTACAACGACGGCGGATGGCAAAACGGCTATAAAGACACCGAATGGCCAAATATTGTATATCCAAAAAAAGACTACTCCTACGGCTGCCAGCAATGTGGGTACTGCATCCATAAGCAACTCTGCGCTTGCAGCTGCAACAACATCGGCAACTGGCAGCAATAAAACCGTTGCCTTCAAACTAATGCGTACATCCGGTAGTGGTGGCTTGGTGCCTATCAAAAACACAAATGCAGTTGCCACAACTACTACAACAGGCGCAACAACAACAAAAGCTGATGCAACATACAAGAATACGCATACAATGTCGCCAAAAATTGCCACCCAATTGACAGCGCCCGTCGGCAACAAACGCGTCATATCTACTGCAGGCGGACAGGTTGTGGTCAAGACGTCACAAGCAGCGGCTGCAACAGTAACAGCAGCAGCAACCAACAATAAAATGGTAGCTAATAGGTCAACAGTGGCTACCGCTGCATCGGGGACCACAACAACATATCGGTTGAGTGGCGGTACACTAACAAGTCACACTACTATTGGCACTAGCAGTACCACTCATATAGCTAATACCAACAAAGCTTCTGTGTCCGGTGGGCACAAAATTTACGTACAAAGTGCCAATGGCAAGCAAATTCTTGTCTCCAATCAACAACTTATCAAATTGTCTCCAAAGCCAACCACCCCAAGTGCATCTTCAACCTCTGCAGCATCCAATGCAGGCACATCGACTAGCGCCTCAACTGGTGGTACCACAGCACGTCAACTGCAAGCGATACAGTTGCCCGGCAAGTCAGTGCAATACTTGCGTGTGTTTCCGAAAGGTAGCGCGGATATCAGTGGTAATGCTACGTCTGCCGCACCTCCAACAGCTACTTTAACGAGCACATCATCGGCGGCAGGCACCACACAAAGCCCCAATCCAACGTCGTCGACGATTAAGATATTAAATTCTGCTGGCGTGCCCCCAAAATTCACTGTTGTACGCCCAAGTCCGACGGGATCGGCGAAACTCATTTTAACACAGTCACCTAAGAAAGACGGCTGTGTACCGGTCACTTTTTCCCCGATCACTTCAAAAGTGGTAAGTAGCCTTCGAAAGCAGAATTTGAAAGTAGTATTTGAAATCTAAAATTGTTTTCTTATATTCAGCAAAAAACCATAGTAACTGTACCCCATTTGCGCGCGATAGGCGATGGATCGCGTAGTCAAAGTGCGGCCGCTGCCGCTAACGCTCATTTAGTCAATACCAATACAAATCAGTCGTTGATAAAAAGTAATTCTGGTGTGGGTACTGTTACCTCAGTGTCCAACCCATCCAACACATTGATGCGTAAACATAAAATCTCTGAAATCAATTCCGAACTAAAGCGCATAACGACAGCAAGTAGCACAAGTGCCGCAACAGAGGCTGAAAGTATCGTTGATGTTGGTGCACCACCTGAGGCGAAAAAGTTGGCGTCTGGCAGTCGTATAGTAATGTTGCCACGTTCAATGCTACGCACAACAGCTGGTGGCAGTGGTCAAGTGCGTCAGGTTACGCTGCAATCGTATGCCGGCGCACCGGATAGTAATAATGGTCGTCAATCGCCAACGCGAAAGCTATTGCAACAGCAACATCAGCATCAGCATCAACATCAGCAACAGCAACAACAACATTCAATGCAGAGCGTCCTCAAGAGCAATAACACGCTAGGGGTAAATGATGCGAGCGGACAAAAATCGCTGCTAATTAATGGCAAGACGCAGGCGTTGATCGCACAGCAGCAGCTACAACAACAGCAGCAGCAGTATAAAACGTTGCAATTGAAGAGAGAATTTCAGCAACAGCAGCCGCAACAATATGACTCGAAATTACCGACGTTGTCGAAGGGCTTAAGTGCTAATATCAGTAGCTATAACAACCAAAGTGGTAGTAATGACACTGCCATCTACAATGCCGTTGATAACAAATTACTAAATTTTAAAATTAAATTAGAGCCCATAGATGAGAAACCGGATGTGACAACCACACCGGATTTGATGCAGGATGTGGCGAATGGCGGCATACGTCGGAAACACTGCAATTGCAGCAAATCACAATGCTTGAAATTGTATTGCGACTGCTTTGCCAATGGCGAATTCTGTCAGGATTGCACATGTAAAGATTGTTTCAATAATCTGCAATACGAGGATCAACGGCAGCGGGCGATCAAAAATTGTCTAGAACGAAATCCCAGTGCATTCAAGTGAGTACATTCAATTTAATATTATTATTATTTCGAATATTATTTTGTTCATGTTCATTTTCGCACGCATTCGAGTAGGGAACGTACCTAAGTTTGATGATGTATAATTTATTATAACCAAATTGCAGAACATTTTTGGATTCCAAGCATTTTGTAAAACCTCGGTGCCTTTACAAAATTATGATTTTTGAAGAGCTACATACCCACATACATACGTTCTATATTAGCCCTCACATTTATTAGTTCCAACGTTCTTAAAAAAAATATTGAATGCAGTATAGGAAAATCAAAATAGTGAATATATGTATGTATTACAAAGCAAAGATGAAATAGAATACATGCTGCGAAAAATATACAAAATTAAAAAAAAAAAAATCAGTATTGTGAATCTTGTAATACAATTAAATTATTGAACATACTCTGCCGGAACAAAGTATTGGCACAGCAAATTGTTCACAATATATACAACAATTTTTATTCTAATATTTTTCCACCAATTTTTGTATAAAAATATGGTTCATTCAACAACAAAAAACATAAAAATAAAATTCCTTAACTTTGTGCAAAACTCGCGAAAATTCAGCAAATTTTCATCAAAATTTTAAACTTTTTAATCAGAATTTTTAGAATTCTTTTGAGTATGCAGTTTTGCAGCCCATTAAATTCTTAATTGCAAGTTCGGAGCTAGTCAAAAATTGCGTTGATTTTTGAGATTTTTTTTTTTTGTTGAAGGTGTTTTGCATTTTTTCCATATAAAGTATTATTGAGAAAAATTTTTTGTTGAAGGTGTTTTGCATTTTTTCCATATAAAGTATTATTGAGAAAAATTTTTTGTATGGAAGAGACTGCGTGAAAAAAAATTGCCAAAAATCAACGGTAATTCCTATCTACCTAAAACTTGCACTTTATTATAAAAAAATTGATTGGGCTACAAATCTGCATACTTCTAAAAAATCTGATTAAAAAGTTGAAAATTTTCATGAAAATTTGCTGAATTTTCACGAGTTTTGCACGAAGTTTAGGAATTTTATTTTTATGTTGAACTATATTTTTATAATAATTTACGTAATAAGTACCCAATACTCAAAAACATTAATTGCATTTCATCGAAATATTAATGGCAGAGCGTTTAAACCTATCACAACAACTCTCACTTTTTAAAGGATATTGAACCGAATATATCGTCTTATAAATTATATTAAAATTTGAGATGGCTTTTAAGCTTTTTTGCTGGCCAATTAATTTTTCCTATTCTTTTATAAAGAAAAAGGAAAAACTTTAAAATTAAAATAAAAAAATATATGTGTATACGAAAAATGTAAAAATTATATAAAAAATATCTAGAAAAATTTAAAAATAAACGTAATCAAAAATAAAACAATAAAAGTAATACAAAATTAAAAAATAGGACAAGAAAAATAAATAAAACGCATTAAAATTTAATTAAAAAAAAAATTATAATAACAGTTAAAAAAAATGTTAGTCGGACAATTAACTGAAACCTACATACATATGTATGGTTGTATATCTGCAATAGCATTTATACCTTTTAACACGCCAAAT